GTTAATTGGCCACTAAGGGGTTCACTTAATAAGACTTAATAATTACTATATTCGAGTGATCTTCAACAGATAAGTATTTATGTTATTTAGTGAGTAATTTCCTCATAATTAGTCTTCAGAATCAGCACAAACATCTGAGCTATAAAATAATTTTATGATTTTCACTTTCCGGTGTAAAACAGTGCTTACAAACTAAGCGAATGCTGTTTATTAATATTAATTTAATGTTAACGATGTATCATCATGTGATTTCATATTTCTGGCATTATTTTTTCCGTGTTTATCGAGACTAGCTTTCGCCCGTAACTTCGTTCCCATGGAAATTGAAAAAAGTGAGTAGCCTATGTCATCTTCCAGACTATCCTCTACATCTGTGCGAAATTTCATCAAGATCCGTTTATCCGTTTAGGCTACAAACTCTTACAAACATCCATCCATCTAAACTTTCGCATTTATAATGTTAAGTAAGATTAGTAAGGTTATAGATAACAACGCAAGTTATTAGAGCGTGCGCACACCTGAAACCAATCTATCGCACAACTGTTTAGTCTTCGTCTTTTTCCTATTTCCTTTATGGAGATGCGCACACTACTCGATTTTTAGTTGTAAAAACATTTGAAATGGCTGTGAAACAATCGACAATCGACGATTACACCGTTGAGCGATAGTTCAGTCAAAGGTGTGCGCTCTTAATAACATAGAAAGCTTGTACATTCGAGATTACTTTGTATAAAAGACATTTGATTAAAACAGTAGTGCGTAATTTTACCAGAAAGGCTTCAGTCTAGATTGAGTCATAACGTTGCCGAAAATTTTCCCCCAAACGTAATTTCCTTTCAATGTAACGAAGGTCGAAATTCTACGGTCTTCGGAGACTGACCAATCTTAATAAATTTTATTTGCGAAATAAATCAATGTATGTAGTGACAGAAAAAGATGCAAAGTGTTGCTGAGAGTTTAGAAGAATTTTTATACTAGTAAATCATTAAAAAAACCACAATTAACTTATAATTAATCGGAAAAATTCACAAGAAAGAAATGACGTAATATCATTCAATCTGTTATTATAAGGAGGAAATATTTGGAATTTGAAAAATTCTTTCACCAATAAATAGCTTCGTTACCACTGAGTAACATAGGCTACATTTATTACATTTTTTATTTCTGCGCGGACGAAGATGCCAGCAGCAACCAGTATGATATATTACAATAAACATTCTCATAAAAGACGTTACCCTCCAATAGGTAGGGCATTTTTTTAAATTATAGACAGTCAATTAAGAAGATTTAATTACTAAGTATAAGGTCAGAAATACACGTAGTAAAATGGAATAGTAGCTTGAATACCAGTTCACGAGACAGTACACAGGACATGTCTGTTATGTTCAAACCCTTCAATACCATCCCTTAACTTGCATGCATAGCTATTACCGAATCAAATATTGTGCTGGCTATATATTGGCATACCTTGTTAGTGTTTACATTTGCCTGTAGTTAGCACTTTCCAGTATTTGCATGCTTGAACCCTAGCTTGTAAATTCCCACCTTTAAATATATAAGTAAACAGATTTTTTATATAAAAGAAGTAGAGCGTTTAATCTCTGTACTTATTGTTTAGTTAATGAATCCATCGAACACAGTAAGGGGAAATTGTAATTAAAATATTTCAAAGGCTCATGAAAATATTGGATTACCTATTCTTGTTAAATTTCTTAAGATCATGAATGAAATGGAAGTTTATTTATAATTTGAACCTTGATATTGTTTATGAATCTATTTTCTGACGTATGTATAATGAGAAAATTTTTGTCAGTTACGGACTTAAAGTTAAAATATATTTTTTTAGCAATAGTATCTAAGATTGCATTATTTTTATTTGTATAACTACTTGATGCAAGATTATACGTAGTGTAAAAATTAACACTCACCACGTAAGAGTATTTATGTAATGTGTTAAAACCATTAAGATCGTTTCCTTTAAAGATCACGGCTTTACAAATGTCAACAGCAAGAGCTTACTCAGAAGTAATTTTTGGTCACAGGAATAAACGCGTTATCATTGTTTATAAGTAAACATACTGATTTCTTCAGTAAACATACTAGTAAATTGACAAATTCAAGGACATTGAGGCTACCTTAAGACACACACCTGAAACTAATCTATCGCATAACTATTTAGTCTTGATTCCTATCAGCTTCTATAGAGATGCACACTCGATTTTTACTTTTTTAATTGGTTTGTTTAACTGTGAAACAATCGACAATCGCACAACAGTTATGCAATAGTTTAGTCAAAAGTGTGCACCCGCTCTAAATAAGGATGACTAGACCTTATATGTTGGTACATTCCAGATTGGTTAACTACATATTTTCAATTCTTCTATAACAGAGGTCATAATGATGCTTTCCTCATGATATAGAGGGAGACATCTAACATTTTTAAACTGTACTTTGGAGTGAAAGTAAAGCAATTTGGTTCTATCACATGTAACCATTGTTTTTGTTGTGATCTTTGCGTAATAAATGTTTCAATTTATTAGATTTTATCAGGGCATTGGCCCCAGCACACGCCTGCATTGAAAGCATTCGCCAATTTCACATATAAATCAAATTTAGAATACATTAGGGTGACCATACATATATAGTCAAGAGACTTTTTTCGGTCTGCACACCCGAGTTGGATCATAAATATTTGAAGTCCTTTTAAAAAATCCTAAACAATCCTTCGATACTGCTACACAAAATTATTGAAATATATATTACTTTGATTTGCCAAATTTCTATGAATACTGAATTTTGGCCGATGATGAAATTTTGTTAGCCGTCTTTAACACTAGTTAAATGTATGGTCACCCTAGTTCTAAGTGGTTTCGCTTTCCGTGGATGTAAAACACAGCATACGCTTTGTTTACAACGGGGGAAAGATTACGAACCTTGCACATGAATAGAAACTCAAGGACTTGAAATGTTTGTATTTAATTATCCATGAACATAATATCTCAACTTAATGTACTCACTAACATTAGCATGGAGTGTAAGAGCGCGCGCCCTTTGACTAAACTATCGCACAACTGTTTAGTCGCGCTTTGATTCCTTTGATCTTCTAAGGAAGTGCACTCTACTCGATTTTTAGTTGTGCAACTGAACAGTTGACAATCGCATAACAGTTCTGCGATAGTTTAGTCAAAGGTGTGCGCCCGATCTAAAACTACTGCGAATAATACTAGCCATTGCAATCATCTGTAAACATCAAATATTCCAATGAAATTTGAGTGAAACATTGAGGTGAAAATGATTAATGTGCATCTTGGGATGGAAGAAAAGTACCGAAAAGAATTTTATATGCTGTACTTAACTTTCTCTATATTTTAGAAACTTTAAACATTATATTTTATTTGCTGCGAGGATGTGGTAAATTCATGCCTGTGGAGATAGAGGGTTATATTTTCCACAGCTACCGTTTGCTTAAAACTTCCTGCCGGTTAAACTTTTCGGAACGACTTCTTTTCGTTAATTTTTGACCGACTCCCCAAAAGAAGGAGGTACTCAATTCATCTGTATATTTTTATGCGTATTACGCTTTATCTCCGGTCCTGATAGACTGATTTTGAAAAAAAAAATATCCGAAAGGTAGTGCTTACAGGTAGGTCCCATTTTTTTGTTTAAATTTTGGAGTCACTAGTGATTTAAAGACTAGTTAGAATTACGACTTCTGTACGGATTCATTATCTTCTACCAGTATTAGCTAAAACGTTATGATTGATTGTTGAAGTACTTGATAATGCGTTAAACAAGGCGGTTAAATTATTGGTATGATTTGTCTCATTTCCCTTTACCATTGTGTGTAGAGATAACACTGATCTCGGAGTTAATTACTATTGTAGCTACCAAGACGTTGGCAATGGATATTAGAATTAATGTAACATTTCCTAACGTATAATGACTTGAGGTCTGAAGACTGTAAATATTACTAAGTACGGAGGTACAGATTGAAGGTGTAGCTTTAGTCCCTTTTCTCTTCCCAACCTCTTCTTTTAAGAAACGGGAGGAGGATTTGACGAAGGAGACATAGGAGGACGCTTTGGAAGAAGATATTCTCTTTCTGTGCGTTCCTTTATAAATTAAACGTATGCTTCAAATCTACAATTGCGGATATCTATGGGCAGCGGTCGCTTCGTCATTTCGGAGCTTGACATTGGACATGCGGTAGCTTGTTCAAGTCTCCAACTATTAAATAATTTGTCAAACGCTTAAATTTCTAAATTAAAATTAAATAAAAAGCAATCCATTGCAAAAGCAAAATGTTTATAAAGTAAACAGTATTCTTAATAAGGTGACAATATGTGGGAATTACGAATTTGGTTTGAATTTTGTTAATTGAAATTCCAATTAACTTCATATGCTAATGCCGGTCGGTGTTACCTCGCTGTGAATGTTACGACCGAAATTTATCAGACAATTTGCTGTAACAGGTTATTAATATAAATGTTCTGTTAAAATTAACAATACCAAGGTATGTTTGTTTAGGTAAATTGGCAGAATTGGAAGTAAACTAATAAATATTTCCTCGCTACAATGTAGTTGACAAATAAAAATCTTTATAACAATAGGACAAAAAGAGTTTTAATGTCCTGCAAGAAACGAGTAAAATCTATCAATAAAAAACATCTGTTTAGACTTCTATCATAACTCTGGTTTCTATTAATAATTATGCAAAGTTTTGTTGCTAGTTTCTCCCAAATTAGAATAAAACCACAAACACTTGACACTGGCCCAATCCGCTGAGGGAGAGCCATAAACAAGAAATAAAATATAATATTAATAATTATTCGTTGAATTAAATAATGAAATTGAAAATACCATTTATCAATAACTTCATTACGTTCTACAATTTCCTTAAAATGAGAGCCACAGAATAGGGATGCAAAAACTTAGGCAGGATAATTTGTACATCGAGACAGGATCGCATCTTACGCTCTTCATTTCCAAACCATACTTCGCTGCGGTCGGTCGCGAACGCCTTAGCCCTTTTCGCGCGCGAAATCTTCAATAAAAACTATATTAGAGCAAAAACTTTAAAATGTGTAAAACCGATATAACTTAATGATTAACCTAGTAATATGGACTTAGTTAAATTGTTAGTGATAAATAAGTGACAATTATTTATTTCGGTAATGAATTAATAACATTTCACCTTCGCCTAAATTCATTATTTAAGGAGATAAAGCAGATGATAACGAATCGTAAGTAATTATTTAAATAATTGTTCTATTAAATTAAATAAAAAAGAAAATATCAACTTTCCTCACACACATGGGCCGATTTGTGTATCCGTTTGTTATAGATTTGTATGTATCCTTATCCTATTCCATTAATACATATCCTAGGGCTATCCTATCCTTCTATTGGATAGAACTATAAAGTTTTTTTATACCTGTAATAATAATAATTGTTGTTAAACATAAGTACAAGGTCTTTGCTTACTTTTATAAACTCCATATACTAACATTCTTGCATTTTACTTTATACTAATACTAGCTTTCGTCCGCGAGTCCGTGGATGTGGAACAAAAAAAGAGGATAGCCTATGTGTTCTTCCAGACTATCCTCTACATCTATACCAAATTTCACACGTTCACCCATTTAGGCTACAAACTCTAATAAATATCCATCCATCTAAACTTTCGTATTTATAATATTAGTATGAAGTAACTATTATTATAAATGGGAAAATTGAGATGGATGAATGTTACTATGTATCTCCAGAACGGCCCAATGGATCTATCTAATTCGCATAGATGGAGAACATAGTCTACACATAGGCAACTTTTTTATACCGCGTGTGGGAAACGGGCGACAGCTATTTGATTTTTTTTTTGTTTTTACATTGCGAACGTGACAATATTGTATCTGGACAGTAATTTGTCTCATTATTAATTAATCAGTGGAACTCCTTGGGATGTATAAACGTTTAATTACTCGACAAAAACACTTATTAAGTATAATCTGTGAGGTATATAATTACAGTAATTACCGTTTCATTTTTAATTCAATAAGCCGTTTATCTCAGTGGTTAAGTGATTTTAGTACCGTGTTGAAATAATGGTCATAGGTTCGAATTGAGATTTGTTAAACATTTCTATAATTTTACCTCGTACTTTTTACTAAGTAATGTGATAATACGACAATTTAGATGGTTGAAATTTGTTGGTGGAAAACACATAGGCTACTCATCTATGACTTAATAATTTTTTTGCGCTGACGAAGTCAAAGGCAATCTAGTGTTACTCTATATTCCAATGAATAAAATAAAAATTTGAAGGATTTAAAATATATATAAATTGCTAAGTAAGTCTTTCGCGTTCGTTTGGTAATAGATTGTCGATCAATATATAATGTATTTTTTTTTAAATTTTATTTTTATATTTACCTTTACAATAAACAACCGATAATTACGTATTATGAGTAAAGATTGTGGTATCAACTCTATACTTATGGATTTCATTCACCAATATAATTGTTTCTTATAAGCTTATCTTTTATCAGATTTATGTTTTTCGTAATTGTTAAAATTTGCATACATGTTTATGTTTTTAATGCAGTAGCTTACGACGTTAATGTGACATTTTGAAACTTGGAACAATGTTTATTCTCGTCATTATAAGGTGAGGACAACGTATTGAAATAATACGTAGGTAATATTTAATTGGTTTCGGATTTCTTTTACACGTTAAAAGAATTGTATACTAAAATCTGGACTTGAATAGCTTTAAAATGTATCATTAAGTTGGTTAAACATTCTAATTATTATCCTGAAGAATTAATAACCTTTACCTGTACTGTTTAATGTTGAACTTAAAACATTTAACATAAAGAGTGCCAAAGCAAAATTCAACACCACCACCTTTGTGTTCAGTCATCACTGTACGCCCCCACGAAGTGGGTCGGAGCCTACCCTAAGCAAAAGGTGATTAGGCCTTAGTCAACGACGCTGGCCAATTGCAAGTTGGTTGAGTCCACACATATCTTTAAACTCCTTCGCCCAAATGTGCAGGTTGCATCACGACTTTTTTCTTCAACGTAAGAAAGTCAGGTAAATTATGTATATATGAAATTTAAAAATCGAAAATTACATTGGTGCATGGTGGGGTTCGAATCCAAGACCTGTATTACAAATCAAGTGCTTAAACCCCTGACCCTCACCATTGTGAGTGCATTAGTGCATTATTATGACAAGAGGTTAAATTCAAAGGACAAAAGAGCTTAAAACAATCAGTCAAAAGCTCAAGGATTACCATATCTTTTCAATATTGACATTATCTGGTTTTAATAATTGATTGTTCAATAAAAACAATGGATTAGAGCTTCAATAAAATGTGCCATCGAACATTAAAGTCGGGGAATTTTATTTCCTACCCATTTCAGTACAATATCACAATAGATGTAAATTAGTTGAAAACTTGTTATAGCAACAAATAAACGGTCGAACACTGAAACGACGTTGCAATATTTTACATCTCCTACAATGATAAGGCCACGTTTAACTCCTTAATACTTTGACGTTTGTCAGATTGAAAGCGTCGCTTACCAAGCGAAGAGTTTAAGATTCGTTTCAGTAGACGGCCAATAATGTGCCAAATTAGTGTTCTGATGGTTACAGTTTAGGACATGCCCCTTAGTCAAAGTAACATTTGATTATCGCTAACTCAGATCGAAAAGTAAAAAAATTTATGGAACTGACAATAACATTCGACAAGTCACGTACTTCTCACGTATTCATTTCTATATTTTTGGCATATTTTGTCGATTCTACTAGCTATCTCAAGTGGTAGCTGAATTTATTTCTTTGGCTGTATATATGAATAGAGTTTTAAACGTGTTTGAACTTTCACACGCTTGGAATATTTCAAATTAATTCAGGACTCTGTATTAACTTAGTCTGTAGTGCTTCAAAGAGTACAAAGTGTGTTAAAACAGTAGACGAGTCATTTTCATTAAAGAAACACTTTGTAAACGTTAGCAATACAAACACTGTTTTTAATTGTTCAAAACAAAACTAAATTAGTGTAAAATTGCATTGTTTGTTAGAAAATCATCTCTACTGTAGAAACTATCAATGACGTATTCATTCTCGAGTTTACACTGCCATTGTACACGTTAAAACATTTTAATGTCTCATTTAGAACGTGTTGATGATGATGGATATATTGACGGATGTTTGCTAGAGTTTGCCGCCTAAACTGCTGAACGGATCTTGATGAAATTTGGCAAAAATATAGAGTACATCTAGAGGATTACACATAGTACTTGCTTTATTTCTAATTGCCCTAATATTCTTTACAACCCAGGAAAACCTGAGGAAGATCACTTGTTTATTTATAAAATAATCAATTATGTTGATAATATTTTTTCATTCGATATAGGATACAATCGCATTTAAATAGGTCAGTACAAGAATAACACAGATAATAAACAAAGCAAATATAAACAGGAAGTTAGTTGTGTAACATTTGTGAATTAAACAAAATAACAATTGCAATCATTTACAAAAGGAGTATTTTATTTAACAAATTATCTATACTTCTATACTATTATAATAAAGCGTAAACACACACTTCTTTGTTGCCTAAGATGTCAGTAATTACAGCATATTTTTGAATTCTCTTTTTAATAAAAAGCCCTACACTTACGTCATGATTTAGGCTATATATTTTTACGCCATTAACCTTATAAATATTTTGGATTTAATGCCTAATATGGGAAAGGGACCATAAGTTGCTGCTAACATCAAGAAAGAAAGATTGCTAAGGTTTGTCATGTCATTTTGACATTTGCAATTGATAATTTAACAGATGTACACAATAAAATAAAGTTTTTATAGTTAGTGCTAAAATAAAAAGCACATAAGAGGATGTGGATTTACAAAAAATACGTAATTTCGATAGCTGTTGATGCAAAAAAGCATTTTTTCTGTCTTAATCCTTTTTGACAAGTCTAAAACTTTTTTTTATAATTAAATTTACATATTAGCATTAAAACATTCAATCATCTTAAAGGGTATTTACGACAAACTTAAGGGTTCAAAGTAAACAAGTGATCAAGGGTCGATCAACAACATCCTTCATTATTACTTCGTCTTCCTTATTTGTTATCTGTACTTGAAATAATGTGAGATTTTTGAAAAGAGATAGTTTTTTAATTTATAAGTATTAATCAATTTATAAACTACTAGCTGTTGCCCATGACTTCGTCCGCGTGGAGTTTCAAAATTTCCAATCGACCCTTTTTTCAACCTATTACCTAACGTATTAACTTAGTAGTAATCTACGTAATAATAGAAATCTACTGATGCAAGATTCTAAATTTGTAAGCCCGGTAGTTTCTAAGCCTATGTTAAGATCTAAAATTCCTTTATAAATAATTTTTCTATACCTCTAACGATTTAGGCAACGCTAGCCGAGAAAAGTTAAAATTTAGTGATTTAACGGGTCCAGTAATACGCTTTTTATTAATAGTTCCTAAACATTATTAATAAACCAATATAATCTATGTTACTTACAGATAAATTACCTTTTTAATGGTGAAAGAATTTATAAAATCGGCTAAGTAGTTTTTAGGCGAATCGTATGCATACTAAAATGCAAATATGCAAATCTTTCCTCTTTATACTAATAGTATAGTATAGATGCAGGAAGGGGTGCGAGGTATAAAATCATACACTCGTTTTTTTAACCTATAAAAGAGAGAAAAAACCTATACAATAAATCCGCACCTTGTTTGTAGCGAGCCGGCTGTGACAACAATCGTGAGTGTGATTGCGTGACAAAAAAACAAATGAAAATAACCATTTGGTAGTCATAACACTCTACTGTGACATATATTGTCTGAATTTAAACAGATAATAAAATAAATCGCATCTAATTTTTCAACAACATTGTTTTTAAAACAATTAAAAAAGGAATGAAAAAAGACAGCCCATGTTACTCACTAATAAAAAAAATGTTTCTTACCTTCTTATTAAAATATAAGAGGTAAATAGGTAAAAACATTTTAAACTCACAAAGAGGCGAGAAAAACAATGCAATCGACGATTGGGTTACATTCTATCCTCTGTCATACTCGGAACTGAAATTCTTTAAAAAGCGGAAAAGGATTGTTTATTGATTTATTATTAAAAAATCCTCTTGTCTATTACTAATTAAATGATTTGTTCTTACAATAATCTTCTACAACGTATTCACAAA